GCACTTCCTTTTTTAGCCCCCCCCCCCCCCCCCCCCCCAATCATGCTGGGTCCACGCGTTACTCCAACGTGAATGGGCGGGGTGTGGCTTTCTGCTTTCGATTCGTGCGGCACATAATGTGATGACATCTCAAGGCTTACTTCTATTTTCAAGTCTCCGCTGACGTAAACGAGCTCGTTAAAAACTTTCAGACTCTCTGCCGTCAGGAGTGGACAGAAACTCAGGCTGACGTTGCCGAAGAGATGCGTCACATTTGAGGGCACACTCTCGAGCTGACAGCCGACCGTGCCTGTGTAGCTCACAGGCATGGCTGTAGAAGCGGCTACGGTGCTGGGCGCCGTCGTTGTTGTTCTTGGCACGTTGCCAGCACACTTTTGGCGCAGCTCAGTGAGCTCTCGAAGCACGTCGACCCCATTCAGCAGCAGGCGGCGTGTATGTCCATCCGCTGATGATGAGGTATTGATGAAAAGGTTGCCATCCAAATCGACGCCGATGATGGGCTCGTCATGTTCGAGCGCGGCGTGGACCACTGCCAGGCCCATGACCACAAGTAAACCGCCTGTGACGCAACGCCACCTCATGGTGGCGTTGCGCATCAATCGACCAATGGATGCCCGTGGCCCTCAGGAAACCGTCATGCTTGGCCAGCAACCCCTTGCGTTCAAGAAAAAAAAAAAAAATAGGGGCTGTTACAGACAGCACTTTATGTCTGACAATCGCGCTGGCCCGACAACTTTAGTCGGTGACCTTTAAGAGCGAGAAAAAAATAGAGGGCCAACAGCACCATGTATTCCCATCTGGTCACCCACGATAGTACTAGCATGGCCCAACATGGCTTAACTGCGGCGATCAGACGAGAGCCGGTGTATTCCATGTGGTATGACCGTTGGCAACAATTGCCTAGCAAAGTTAAGATATAAAGGTCATTCTAATGTGCGCCCCAGCGCTGGCACCTTGAACCCACACCGAACCAGTTCATGAAGGTGTGACGTCACCCTTTCTTTTGGAAAAAGAGACAGGAACGCACTTTGTCTTATCCACACACCTAAAAGTGATACAACATGATGCGATGGCAGTGCGCCAACGGCAACGTTTGAAACGCTTATGGTTTCTAGTGACGAAAACACCAAAATGTGACGCCCAACGTTTTCCTCATAATGAGCCAGCCCACATCTGTCCATCTGCTTTCGTCTCTGAATGGCTGAGTATCCACCACGCAGGTCTCTTGTTTCACATGACATGTTTCACACGACTGTTTCGGGCAGATCGTTCACTCTCTGAGACATTCTTTGGTTCAATTCACATCTCTGACGCAGCAGTCCTATTTTAACACGCCTTGGTTTGGGATCACATAGCAAGACTGGCAGGCATGTTGCCAACCCGCGTGCCCAGCGTTCAGTGCCGTGCGGTGCCGTTCATCCCCACCAACCACAGCAGCATGCCAACACGCGCGATTGCATCTTCCCCCTCATCTGGCTTGCTCATGACACACGCCCTGTGCACGCGCCCCCTTCTCGCCCATCTGGCCTCACCCCCCCCCCGCGTGACACTCCCCAACCCGCGAGCGCTTCGTTCCTATTTTCTTCCCCACTCTGTGTGTGGATGCCCCAGCCTCTTTGCCGGGACCACTGGATCTTCCTTGACCCAGCTCGCCCAAGCCCGATCATTGGTTTTGGTTGCTGAACAGGGAGCCATTCCACCCACGGTTGCTTTCACACACATGTATTTACACATGCGCACAGATCGACAGACGCAGGCCCAAGTCACGTTCACAGACACAAACACAGTGGGAGGGCTTCCGGGTCCATTCACGACTCACGCACGACGCAGGGTGTGCATGTGTACGGATCCCAATCGCTCAAGCACGCACGGTCTGTTGCTTGTGAGCCGACAAGATGATGGCCCCCACTCAACGCTCAAGGTTGGTCCTAGCCTGTGACCTTGTTCGACCTTGCCTCATCTCTTCAGATTCCTCGCTCAACTCTCCGCCACTGCGCGCGCTTCACGCCTGCACAGAAGTCCACCGCGGACATGGAGCGAGCGGTCCACCCGCTTCTTCCGGCTGTGGGTGCTCGCCGTCGTGCTCACCCTGGGAGCCAGCATCTTCGTCATGTCCCAAGGTGGAATGTTCGACTTTCGCGAAACCGTCGAATGGGTCCGCCTCCAGGTCGATCGGGCCGTTTGCACGCCAGCCAAGCGAACTCCTGCTGATCTGAGTGCGATTGATCTCGGCCCTCAAAATTGCACGCACATCCCCTTGCCGCCTCACATGCGCGTCCCCCGCATGTTTGTGGCCGACGAGGCCTTTGCCACCACCATGAACGGCCTGACTTGTCGCGAATGCGACGAACTTCCCGTGTACGACCAGATCCGTCGCAACCTAACGGGCACTCTTGTCAACCGAGTGGAGGATGCGGAATTCATTGTCCTTCCCTTTCCAGCCGAGTGCCACGACAGTTGCCGCTTCAACCGCCAGATTGACTTTCGCCGCGCCGTGGACGCCATGCAGCCGCTGCTGGACCGCAACCCCCGCGCCAAGCTGGTGACCGTGAGCCGACGGCCTTTCCCCGAGCGCACCAACTTCCGCACGCCCATGCGTGACCTCCTTGCCAACAACCCCAACATCATGTTTCTTTCGCCAGAAATTAAGAATCTCCAGTCCCGCGAGCTCAGATCCGGTGCCGCCAAGTTCTCCTTCCTCAACCACGTCATCCTACCCCAGTTCCCCGTGGACTTTACCGTTTTTGATGCCCCCTTTGCCCCAGACTGGGACCGACCCTATCGCTTCTGCTTCCAAGGCACACTCCTCAATGCTGAGCGCACCATGGTCACGGATGCGCTTCGCCAGCGCAATGATAGCTATGTGCTGTCAACATGTCGCTCCGATCGCGCCGACTTTGCCGCCACCACCTTTAGCTCCGGGGACTCGGCTACGCTCTACTCACAATGCCAGTTCTGCCCCACGCCCCGTGGTGACTCCAACTGCGATACACGCTTCTTCGATGCCATGCGCGTCGGCTGCATTCCCATTGTGACCAATGCCATGCGCGCCACACCCTACATCCGCCATGTGGACTATGCCACCTGGTCTTTGGCTTATCTGCGTGACACCAACGCCAAGCGCTTTGCACAGTACCTTGATACCTTGGCCGACCAGTCTCCGGAGAGTATTCATCATCAGCGCTTGCGCATGCGCGAGGCTGCCCTTCAAATTACCCACGCCGAGTGTAACGGCGCGCCCGGTCTCCACTATGCGCTTGCCAGTCTCATTGAAGATCGGTCTGGCCTCGAGGACCTCTGGGGTCACAGCTTTCAAAACATGTAGCTTAACGCTGAACATCCACTCCCCATATCGAAACGCTGCTATGCAGCTGGCGCCGACTCTTGTCTTTATTTTTATTTGTTTTTTTCCTTTCTTGCCTACCATTGTGTCCATCTCGTCCCTGCTTGGGCGCATCTGAACCCTCTGTGAGGGATTGCCCATTCGTATGGAATGAAAATTCACATGATAAATTCACATGATATCATTATTTTCCATTGCGAGTGTGTGTCAGGCACCTCCCATGCGGCCCATTGCCGATGGGCGACATCCGCCACATCGCCGATCGGCGGCATCCGCCAGTACCCGGAACAACTTCAGAGCCTGTGTCCTCCCAGTGGCAATCACAAGTGAACGAATGACATGATTGAGACACATGAACTGATTGAGCATGGAGATCAATTCAAAGCGCATGTCGAATATTCACATTTCTTTACTATCAGAAAACACCTCACACACACACACTGGTTCACATGTACAACTATTCAGCTTAGTCAACCTCCTCGATGGTGGGGCCCTGGTTGCCAGAGGCATCACCAGCAGGAGCACCGCCGGGCATATCGCCGGGCATGCCACCGGCACCCTCGGGCATGCCACCAGCTTGATAGAGCTTGCTGACAATGGGAGAGCAGACACCCTCGAGCTCCTTCTGCTGGTGCTCAAACTCCTCCTTCTCGGCCGACTGGTTGGCGTCGAGCCAGGCGAGGACTTCGCTGCACTTGTCCGTGACAGTCTTTTGCTCTTCCTCAGAAACCTTGCCCTTGACCTTGTCATCGTCAAAGGTAGACTTCATGTTGTAGGCGTACGACTCGAGGGCGTTCTTGGCGGCAATCTTCTCCTTGACAGCCTCATCCTCGTTCTTGTACTTCTCGGCCTCGGCCACCATGCGTTCAATGTCGTCGGCAGAGAGACGGCCCTTGTCATTGGTGATGGTGATCTTGTTGCTCTTGCCAGTCGACTTGTCGGCGGCCGAGACGTTTAGGATACCGTTGGCGTCAATGTCAAAGGTGACCTCAATCTGGGGCACACCACGGGGCGCGGGGGGAATGCCCGAGAGCTCAAACTTGCCCAGCATGTTGTTGTCTTTGGTCATGGCACGCTCGCCCTCGTAGACCTGGATGAGCACACCAGGCTGGTTGTCCGAGTAGGTGGTGAACGTCTGCGTCTGCTTGGTGGGGATGGTGGTGTTGCGCTTGATAAGGGCGGTCATGACACCACCGGCGGTCTCCAGACCCATGGAGAGGGGGGCAACGTCGAGCAGGAGCAGGTCCTGAACGGCCTCCGACTTGTCACCGGAGAGGATGGCGGCCTGAACGGCGGCACCGTAGGCAACGGCCTCATCGGGGTTGATGCTCTTGTTCAGCTCCTTGCCGTTGAAAAAGTCCTGGAGCAGCTTCTGGACCTTGGGGATACGCGTGGAGCCGCCAACAAGAACAACCTCGTTGATGCTGGACTTGTCCAACTTGGCGTCGCGCAGGGCCTTCTCAACGGGGTCAAGAGTGCCGCGGAAGAGATCGGCGCACAGATCTTCGAAGCGGGCACGGGTGATGCTGGTGTAAAAGTCAATGCCCTCGAAGAGGGAATCAATCTCGACGTTGGCCTGGGCCGAGGCGGAGAGGGTGCGCTTGGCGCGCTCGCAAGCGGTGCGCAGCCGACGGAGGGCGCGCTTGTTGGAGGTGATGTCCTTCTTGTGCTTACGCTTGAACTCGGTCACAAAGTGGTTGACGAGACGGTTGTCAAAATCCTCGCCACCCAAGTGGGTGTCACCGGCGGTCGACTTGACCTCGAAGATGCCATCATCGATGGAGAGGACGGACACATCAAAGGTACCACCACCCAGGTCAAAGATGAGCACGTGGTTCTCACCCTGGCTCTTCTTGTCGAGACCGTAGGCAATGGCGGCGGCGGTGGGCTCGTTGATGATACGGAGCACGTTGAGGCCAGCGATGGTACCGGCATCCTTGGTGGCCTGGCGCTGGCTGTCGTTGAAGTAAGCGGGGACGGTGACGACGGCGTCCTTGACCTCGGTACCGAGGTAGGCCTCGGCAATCTCGCGCATCTTGACGAGGACCATGGAGCTAATCTCCTCAGGGAAGAACTGCTTGGTCTCACCCTTGTACTCAACCTCGAGCTTGGGGCGAGAGTCGACGTTGATGACGTTGAAGGGCCAGTGCTTCATATCGCTCTGGACGGCGGCGTCATCGAACTTGCGGCCGATAAGGCGCTTGGCATCGAAGATGGTGTTGGTGGGGTTCATGGCCACCTGGTTCTTGGCGGCGTCACCAATGAGGCGCTCAGAGTCGGTAAAGGCGACATAGCTGGGCGTGGTGCGGTTGCCCTGGTCGTTGGCGATAATCTCGACCTTGCCGTGCTGGAACACGCCAACGCACGAGTAAGTCTATAAATTCGAACAAGTGTGAAAGGTGAGAACACACGTATTAAACAAGCATCGGACGCGCGGGAGGAACTGTCCAACGCGCAGCTGAAGCGTCAACATTCCGACGTACCGTGCCAAGATCAATACCGATGGCGGGCATGGTGATGGTGTTGTAAGAAACAGTAACAGATGGTCTGGTACAGTGGTCAGCTAAAACAGCTTGTGAAATAATAGTCTTGAATGCTTTTGGATTGCTCTCTGGCAGTCGATGTTAGAAAATGCCACTCGCCGTCCAGCCCGAAGCACTCATACCCGCAGCCAAGCGGTCCATTCCTCCGTGCAATTGGACTCTGACTCACATGTCAGTCACTCTTGACGATCATGGACGTCACCAGACGGTTCGATGGTCAGTGTCGAAGACTCCAGCTTGTGTCAGGCACTTTTGATGTGTGAAACCGTGAATCAACCTCTGCTGGCGTGATCATCTCGATCCTTCTCTCTGCCCTATGCTTGATTTGCTGTTGCTTCCAGAACCCCAAGGAGAACGCTCTCTCTGTTTTTGGAACATCATCTGGCCACCTCTCTCGACGCTGACTTCGTCATCGGACTCCAGCATCTTCGAGAACAAGCCAGAATAATGTGTGCATAAATTACACTTTACCAAATGATTGTCAGATGATCTTGATGGCGATGATGTAGTTCCAGCTCGAACGTTACATCTTGGGGTGAGGAGGTTCGGCATGCTGAGCCCTTCCAGACGACTTAAGCTTGCCCCAGGCAAGTGGTCAGGCCGGCCAGTTGACTGGTTGTAAAATAATCGCCGTAGGCTCGGCCCATCTGACCACGAAGGAGCACACATCTGCGTCAGAGGCGGAGCAAGCGTGGTCCATCTCCCCCCGCCCGCCCCATACACCTCCCCCGCTTGCATACCTGTTCTGCGAACGTTGATGACGCTTGACCCTCCAGCCACAGGCAGACCTATGGTTGCAAATACAAGCGTCAGTCATGATTGTGAGCTCAAGTTTGACGCTTAAAGTCACCGCCCGCCTACTCTCCCCACGACAAACGATCAACACTTGCGGGTGCAGGCGCAGAAGCGCAGAGGTCTCGCCAGGCGCTGGCCTCGGCTGAATATGCCGAGCATTGGAGTTGCCATTGCGTTGTGTTGGCTTCTGCCTCGCCCTGACCGACCATCCAGAGGCAAGATGAGCGCGCCGTCAGGAGCGCATCGCCAGCACCAGTATTGGGCCGCATCACACCAACCGGCATCAGGGCTTGAGGGAGTGGAAGACCAACAATTGGTGCTGCAGGTTGGTGGTGAGCCCACCAAGTGGGAAACCCGTCCCAGCTCTGCTTGGGCAGCAACACGCGCACTGCGTGCGCGCTGAAAGGGTCAAGCGTTAGAACAACGTGGCACCAGCCAAGCGCTGACGGAAGCACGTGAGCATCTTACCTGAGTACAGCCAGCCAAGAGCGCGCGGTAGCTGCGTCCACCTCCATTAACCGGAGCCAAGTGCTGGAGCTCAACTGCTGTTCGGGACAAGAATTGTGCTGTAGGCTTGGCAATAGCAAATCAAGCGCATGGGGCACAGGCAGGTTGGACGAGATCTCGGCACATGGGTCGAACTGCGTCAGCCATGGCAGCCAGTTGGTCCCCCGCGGCGCCAGCAACGTCAAATTCTGCAGGCGTGGGGCACCTGCCGTGTTCTTGACACGGAGAATGCCAGCTTCTGAACGCTCTTGCTTGGCCCAGTCGTGGATTGTGCCGTTCCTACCAACCAGAGCAAGCCTGAGTTTAAATTGCCGCCTGCCACTGCAGACATGGCTACACGGTAGCTTGTCAGACATCCAACTCACGCCTGCAACTCGGCGTGGGCCGCTACCTGCGCCCGTGTGCGGAAGACGGCCTCTGCAGCCACCCGCGCAATGAGTTGGTTCGCTTTGACAAAGTCACTCTGGCCACACCGTACGGGCTGCAGGGCAGAACGTACTCGTGTACTGCCAGTAGTTGTGCTTTTGCTGTTGCACATGCTCCTGTTGCCAATCCTGCTTGGACCCAACACGCACTTGCTGGAATGAGACAGCATGTCACACGGCTAACGACAGACTGGTTGACAAGCCACAGCTACGGAATGACTTACGCGCCCGGCGCCAATAAACTCTTCGGCGCTGTCAGTGCGGTGGCCCAAGTGACGGGTAAGACCAAACGTGCCCACGTTGGCATTGTAGCCCAGTTGCGCAGCAATTTGCTTGAGCTGTTTGATGAGGCCCGTGCCCCTACCAAATTGGCGACCGTGGCGTATGTTACATAAGATACACCGCCAGGGGACCCTAACCCTCACCAGACAAGTAGCTCATGGCTTGAAACTAGATCGAAACCCAATGGCGCCCCCCATTTCCCTGCTCGGACCACACGCACCAATAACCCATGCCCGTGATGTAATCGGCGTAATGAAGACAAGGCAGCCAAGCGCGTGGCAGGACAAAGCAATCGTGGCCGGGATGGTCTGCAGTCTTGGGCCAACTGAACACGTCGGTCACGTCCCAGGTCCTGATTGAGACTGACCCATGTGCTGAAAAACATGACAATCCAAGGGACCGGGAGATAGCCATGAGCTGTCGTTACTATGAATCGCACGTGAAAGACAAGGGCCGACAGGCCTCCTTTTTAAATAACCAAAAAAGCCATACCGGCCACCACAAGATCGCGGCGAAAGTTGTCGATCAGTTGGATGTTGTAGTTGACAATTTTGCGTTGAAGCTGGAGGTAAAAGTCACGACGCACGATAATGTCGTAGTTGGTGTAGACAAAGTGCGAGTGACGACCAAAGTGATACCCTAAAACACACCAGGGGCCCGGCAAAAGTCCAGAGTGGGGAGGGGCGTAAGCCAGCCAGCCTGTCTCGCCCACCCATTCAAACGTGAAATGCGGATCGGATGCAGGAGTGAGTCAACAAACCGGCGAGCCACAGGTCGGCCACCATGGGACCATAGACGGGCTTTTCTCCCTTGCCCAAGCCGCCCCAGCGCTGGTGAACGGCGCAAAAGCCAGTGCGCCAGGGGCAGAGGATGGGTAAGGAGCGCACAAAATCTACCGCAGCGCAAAAAAATACCCATGCGTTAATGTGCACGGAACACGTGTCGTCTTAGCCAGAGACAGTCACAGATGTGCCGACTGCATAACGGTTGGCGGGCTCACACACAAATAAAGGGCTCACCGGGTAGGCTAACGTTTTCGTGGGTAAACGTGAGGGCTAGGATTTCAACGCGAATCCCGGCTTCAGCCGCGGCCGCGCGAGCCTCGCCCAGCGCCTGCAAGGTCCACCGGTATTGCTCGTCCGACTACATCCAGCGTCAAGTCCACCAAACAGCGGGAATGAAGCCAACTGTGCAATGATGAATCGCGGGCTGCTTGAAGCAACATCACCGCAACAACTGGCATACCGTCTGAAAGGGATTGATAACGTGGGTGAACGAAACTTCGGGTCCAGCCGCGCGATGCAAAAGGTCTATCCTCACCAATGAGCACATGCATAACTTGGCATATCAGTGCGATTGGACGGGAGAAGATACGGCGAGCTGAAACACAAAATTGTGAGCCACACGAATGACGCACCAGCTTGTGCGGAGCAGGTGGGAGTGAGGGTCAGAGACGCGTTGGGGGTGAATTTAAAGCATTGGCCCAGGGTTTCAATGCTTTCTGGCGCGGGAATCCCAAGGACAGGCCGCTGGGGTAGCACGGGTTTGTCGTATAGACTGGCATTGCAGCTGGCAGGCAAGGGCTGAAGGTCCAGCTCCACCTACCACCCCAAGCATCGCCATTGAGGAGCAGCCATGGACAGCAACAAAGGGCAACAACAACAACAACAACAACAACAACAACAACAACAACAGCAACAACAACAGCAGCAACAACAGCAACACCGGCAGGGGGCACGCGTGGTTGCAGCGGCAGTGCAGACTCACGGGAATGGCCATGGGAGAATTGGAGTTTCGTTTGTTGACTTGTATTTTCACTGTTGCGGTTTTTTGCACGCGAGCCCCATCTTTGGTCGCCGGCAAGCTCACGGTAGTGCTGGCGCGAGTAGAGGCTCGTAGTCCTACTGATTGTGCTGCGGTCGACTGAGCAAGCGACAGCGTGGCAAGAGCCAGTGGTGTGCCCCGTTTTTCATGCTTGTACGGCTGGTTTCGTGCCAATTCAGCCACAACATGAGTTTTCTGCCCCAAGGTCATGCTCTGGGAACGGGCGAGGCCGTGGGACAGACCTGAATTTTGGGTACGATGGGTGGTGGCTGCGTGGTAGCTGGAAAGAAGTGTCCCACAATGAGGTAGCCGGCAAGAGCAGCCACAAGTAGCTGCAGCGCAAAGCCCACCCCGAGGCGGGTGGCGCGCCCAGCTCCGCCCATGGGCGATGGCGGTCGGGCGACGAGTTTGAGACGAAACACTCTTATGTGCCAGCAAGGTGTGATACTTGCTTGGACCTATCCATGTGTGGTTGTTCACCTTTGCTGGGCGGTTTCGCCCGGTGCTTTGAACTATTGAGGGTCGGGGCATCTGCTGTAAATTTGACTGATCAGAAAGTCAGCGCCACAAAAAAAAAAATGGCCCGATCATGTGCATGCATGCAAGGTACCCTATTCAAGATGAAGATAACCTGATTGCCTTATGAGTTAGTAGATGAAGCACCTTCAATAGTTTATGTCGATTTCGTACAGAAGCAACAGATATGCAAGCCAACTTCATAAGAGTTGTTGTGGCATTTACTCCAGTTGAAGCAGATGATCAGCCAAGCGAACGCGCGGTCTCGCTCGTGCTCGCGTTTGCTTGACGACTGCACGGCGTGATCATCATCACCATCCCGTCCCCTTGCTCTCTCAAGTCAAGCGCCTCATCACCCTCACCCCCACCCCCTTCAAGGACGCTTCTTGGCAGCCGGGACCCCTGCCGCCTGCGGTTTCGTCGGTCACTCTTGTGATTTTTTATCTTTTGAAACCACGAACCTTTCTCAAGCCGACTTCAAGCGTCTTCAAGTATGTCCGCTTCATTGTTGTGTGTTTGCCTTGGTCCTGTTGTGGTTCGTCCGCCCGCCATGACCCTTCTTGTGACGCACGCGCGCTCGCGAATGTGCAGCTGGCTGCCAAGGGGGCCGCGCCACATCTGCAGCTCTCATTCTGGCTTGACGTCTTTTTTATTTGACATCCTTCGCAGCCACTTATTTTGCACAAACCTCTGAGCTATTGTTGTTGTTGTTGCTGTTGGTGCTGGCAGCCGATCTTCATTTCGACCCTTGCCCACCGGTGCACTCTTTGCTTGCTCGCAACGCGTTGGCGGGCACCCTTTACAAGTTTCCGGGTGTTGATCATCACACGCCCTCTGGTGCCGAACGTGAACAGCTGGCATGGCGACGGTGGTACATCCAGGCACCATGCCCAGTTCCGAGGATGACGCACACGGCCCCCGCTACCCAGCCATGGATCTGGTATGTCCAGGCAACCCGAGCACTGGGGTCCGATCGAGACGAGTCGGTTTGCTCAGCCCAGGAATCTTTGCTGCCACCAACTCATTCTTGCCGTTGACCTGCCCCGCGCCCCACGATGGTTGTGTGTTTCATCTCGTCTTGCAGTGGCGGGCCCTGTTGGACCTGGTGTCACAGGATCTGTTTCCCGCGAGCAAGCGCAAGGCGCGGCGCTTTGACAGTGGTGCCAACATCATTTCTGCCGTCCAACACCTGATTGCAACGCGTGGCGCTCGCCCCGAGGCAACACGCGAAGATGCGCAACGCGTTACCGGCTTGCTGTTGCTGTCCAACACCATCACGCCGCAGAAGAAGCACCCCCGGGACTCAACCGTGGTGGCTGATAGCCCCAAGGCCAAGTATGAGCTGCAACCCACAGAAGCCCACCGTGGCCTCCTTCCCATCAGTCCAAGCGCCTCGCCTTGAGCTCCAGTCGCTTGGTTGTCATTCTCGCGACTGCCCAGTCTAAGTTATTTCGTCGCCTCGTTATCTGATGTGCTTGGGGCTACTCGCGGAGCCGAATAGCCGGCCCCCGTCCCCGCCATGGCTGAGCCACGGCGTCGTGCAGTTGTTGCCGCCAAAAGTAGTCGACCTCTTGGCAAGAGCCGTGAAACGAGGATCAGACCAATATTGCCGTCCCGCCCGCGGTCTCCAATGGGCTTGTTTGACACCTGGTCGCCTTGCCTTGAGGCGTGCGCACGAGCTGTATTCAGGCTTCAAATTGAGAAAATCGTTCTTGGAACCCCGATCTCCTGTCCGCGGCACATTCAAAGCCAACCTCGCCAGTCGGTCACTTCAGCGTGTTGATCACCTCTTTTACATCTTTCCATCTCGTCCCCTTCGCCAATCTCTCTTCATTAACATGTAAACCTCATCTTTCTCTGTATCGACGTCTCCTCCTCTCTTCTCTCTCTCTCTCTCTCTCTCTCTCTCTCTCTCTCTCTCTCTCTCTCTCTCTCTCTCTCTCTCTCTCTCTCTCTCTCTCTCTCTCTCTCTCTCTCTCTCTCTCTCTCTCTCTCTCTCCCTCTCTCTCTCTGTCTCTCTCTGTCTCTCTGTCTCTCTCTCTCTCTCTGTCTCTCTCTGTCTCTCTCTGTCTCTCTGTCTCTCTCTGTCTCTGTCTCTCTCTCTCTCTCTCTCGCTTTCTCTCTCTCTCTGTTCTGACATTTTTCCTCGTGCGCTTTCATCTCCCCTCATTTTTAAAAAAAAAAGCGCTACTCTTGTTGAATTGTCCGGCAGCTCGACGTTGCGTCGCACCTCCTCAACTCCCCCCTCCACCCGCTTCCCGCCGCCCGTCGCACACACACACACACACACACACACACAGTCGCATAGATTGCATGGTTGGCCGTCAACTTGGACCCTTTGGCAGATCCAGGAAGAGGATTGAGAGACACGATGCTGCTGGTGCAGCTTCCTGGCTGGAACCTGGTCCTACTCGCCCCATCAAATCAAGGCGGCGTTGAGCTGGCTTGAGGGTTCGAGCGCTGATCAAGCCCTTCAACTCTCCTTGGCTGAGTCTGCCCTCCATTCAGGCTCGCTTGGTGCTGGCTGCATTCTTTGCTCGCCGCCCTATCATGGCAGAGGAACCGTTGCAACTCAGCGGCTGGCTCGAAAAGTTTGTTGCCGCAAAGTCCCATTGTTGGACGTGCTGCTCATGCCCGGCATGTCGTGACTCACGCCTCTTCTGCTCCGACTCTTTTGCCCGCTGGCAGGAGTCCGCCGCTTGATAAGGCTGGATCCTTGCTCAAGGGTTTCAAACGCCGTTGGTTCTACCTAGACAGTATTCTGACCGAGCTCCGGTATGCCGTCATGCCGCTCCCCCTTGCGCAAACTCGCTAGGCCTGTCCCACCTCCAAATCCATTCTGGGTCTCATGCTGACGCTTTGCGCAGCTATTATGCCTCGGAAGACCCCTCCACCGTGCCCAAGGGGAGCATTGACCTCGGCACTGTCGTAACCATCAACCCGTTTCAAACCTGGCCTGGAAAGAAGCAGTCGCGCCACGCCAACGTAAGCTTCGCCTTGACCCCACCCCGGCAAGGGTGTCGTTCGGTGGCCATAGGGCACCACATTTTCAATGCCGGCACGCTCGCCACTTTCTTCAGGTCTTCACCATCGAGACCACGACACGCACCTTCTACCTCAGTGCCCCTACCCTTGACCTGATGCGCACCTGGGTCGCCACGTTGCGCTTGGCCGCGCGAACCGCCATCATCAAGCATGCCACGCCTGACGATCGTGAGCTCCCCTTCTTGTTGCTCCCTTTGACTTGTTCGCTTGCGGACACGGCGCCTCACTCCCACACCTTGGTGCTCGCTGGCCGGACATTGCACAGAACCTCTGTTGGAGGCAGCACAGCATGGGCGATTGACAATCAACTTGGCGCTCATGCACGACACCCTGCGTTCGCAAGTTGTCAGAGCCTCACCCACGACCACAGCGCACAACATTCTGCAAGACCTTGTCGTTCAAGACGACCTCTTTGCCGTCGAGCTTCAAGAGTTGGTTTTGCCATGTCTCGTTTCTCCCATTAATTACCTGCGAGTCGCTGACGTCTGCCTGTCGCGTCCTGCTCGCGCCCGACGCCGCCCCGGTCCCGCACTTTCAACTAGGCTTTGCCTCATGCTCATTGACCAGCGCCGCGTGGACGTGCGTGCTCTGGCCCAGGATGATCGACCCTTGATTCTGCAGCAGTGCGAGCCCTCCGCCCGTCTGTACCTCAACAAGCGAGGCAACATTGCCAACACCCTGAGTCTATTGGAAAGCAAAGAAAAAGACGTATGATGGCCGACGCATGCCTTGTGAGTGTCCCTGTGAAGCCAGCTCTGACCAATCTCGCATCCGCGTAGATGCGCTTGAGTGAGAATCAACAAAGCTCGGAATACACTGTACGATATCTTGGCAGTGTTGCCATGCCAGCCGGCACAGGTACGCACTACAAGCAGACGAGCCCAACGACACCCACTCTGAGCGCTCAGCTTTTGATCTTTTGATCAGTACGATAGCTCAGCCTCACGGTTCGCGAATGTGCAATGCAGACGAACAACACTACATGTCCGCCTACGATACCCTACGAAAAAAGTTGGAGCCGATCAACTCGGACTTGGTGTGTGTCCTGGAGGATGCGGCCGCCAAGTTCTACAACAACCGCGGTGATGGTCAACGCCGGACGGTGCGTGGTGTGACCGTTGCCAGCTCGGCCGGCCCAAGACCTGTCTTGGCCATATCTCATGTTATGTACGGGGTTATCGTTACTTGGCGTTTGCTGTGTTTTTACACGTGCCGCAGTTGATTTGGGAAGCTGGATTTGCCAACATGCTAGCCTGCCGAAGCCACAAGCGAGGTATGTGCCCCCCTTGTGCCACTGCCGCCAATTCAGAACCACAAAACTCACACCTTTCGCATGTCCGCTCCTTCACCTCCGTGATGCGGCGCCTTGCTTGTCATACATAGCCATGGTCATTGCGATCGCCCCTTCCAACTCAGCGGTCAGTTCACCTCACCCCTTCCTCGCCTGAAAACATGGCGAGATCCCGACTCAATGGCGATTTGCCGATGGCTTACAACCCTGCGCCTAGATGGTCAAGGTGCACGCATTTCGCTGTCCTTCAACAACCTCAGTAAGCCTCTTCCACTCCCCTCTTTTTTTTTTTTTTTTTTTTTCTTTCGCTCAGCTTGGACTGCAAACTTACGTGCAACCCGCGCCATTAGGCTGCCACGTTGTCGTACGTCATTACTCAGCAACACAAGGCTGTCAGTGACTCAATCCAGCGTGCCAAATCACGACGCGCCAGGGTCAAGCGTCAAAGTGTGCGCGTGAACAAGAGTCTCAAGTTACAAGTAGCCGACGGTGCGTTTGAGTTCTTGCCCCTCGCACCCCGGCTGGAGCTCTGCCTGTTCACCTGGATGCATGTACCACTTTGCGTGTCGTTTCGCAGTCCCAACCGCGGGGGTAGTGCTTGGTGATACGGCGCTGACCTATGACGAAGACTTGGCACTTTTATTGGCAGCGGCGGGCTTGTCTTGGCCCCAGGGTGGATGGGCTGAGCTCGAGGCCGGCTTGGACGAGCTGGAGGCCAAGTATACGGTGCGGCTAGATCGAGCCGATACCCTATACGGCGATGGTCCTCAGGGTGAGAGTGGATCGACAGATATCTAGTGTTGGCGATTGGATCTGAACGACCCCGCGGCTGGCTTCTGGTCTATCTGGTCGCTCGTTCGAGCAGCACCAAAAAAAAGTCCGTGCTGCCATGAAAGCGGGGGACTCATTCTGACCAGCACGCTGTATTCATACGGCAATGGACTTGCGAGCGGATGTGCGTAAAAGACCACGGTGGTAGTTGGCACGATTTCAGCGACTGCGTCGCCCCAACTTGTTTGAAACAAGCAGCATGATAGTCATCATCAGAATTGAGTCGAGTGTTTCATCCCGCGATGTCAGCCGACGACTGGTGTTTTATGCGGCATGCTATTCATATCAGGCAGAGAGTCAGGGTCTGATTTTGCTGTTTGCTTACGGCGTAATTCAAATTTGTCGCACCAGGCCAAGCCGCGGCTGTTTGCAGTTTGTGGAGAAGGATGAGTAAGCGGTGCGATGTTCTACTGTCACTTGAGATCCACACCAAAGCTGTAATCGTTGCGTGACATGTCTGAGGCAAGCGTGAAGTCTGAAGTATAGGCAGAGCCCTATATGACGGCGACGCGACATTGGGCACACACAATATTATTGAGCGGGATCCACCGACACAGGATGGTGCGTGAGTCGATGCAGGCAAGGCGTACCAGACTAAAGCCACTGCCATTGTTCTCGCTATTCAAACCGTCACTACCGAGGCCGTTGGAGAGGTTGGAGAGGGCGGAAAACTGGCCCATGCTCTCCTCGGGAATGCTGGATACGGCACTGAGCGCACTCTCGTTGTTCATGCTCCTGCGAGACGGCGGCAAGCATGGCGTGAAAGTAGAAGGTGTGAGCGCAGCCGTGCTGCACAAAATTGGTGCGCGCGGCAAGCACATACGGTGGCTCAAAATCATCTTCGTAGGCAAGGGCTGCCGAGCCTGGGGCCCGGTCAGGTTGGGACAAAGCTTGCGAACGGGGCGACGTGTGACTGCTGCTTTTTGGTGAAGCTTCTGCACCAAGAAGAGACACACACCTCTCACAGTGAGAACATGCTGCAGAGTCTATACAGACTGCAGAGTCTATACAGACTGGCAAAAGACATGAGTCATACCTTGACTACTTCTTCGGGCCTGAAACTCGGCCAGGCGGCGATCGATATCGGCCAAGCGCTGACGATCGGCCTCAAACTGGTCTTGGTCGTAGCCTGGGCCCCCACTAGCAGAATTTGCGTGAGAGCCGACGGGCGAGCCACCACTGACGGGAGTGCGGTCAGTGGAGGGACGGCGAGGCTCGTTTGTTGGTGTGCGATTATCGTCGCGAAGACTAGGCGAGGCAACTGAGGGTGTTTGAGAGCCAAAGTCTGGGGCCTGGAAAGAACCGGAAAGGGAGTTGTTGGTATCCAAAATCTCAGAAAGCGGTTCCGACAGGGGTTCGCTAGCCACCACGGAGGCCCCCGAGGCTGGTGACCCTTGCGAGCCAAACGAGCCGCGTGCCTGGGCCTTATCAGCCATGCCACTGTGCTGTGGTGCCGATGCATTGTGGGTGGGTGGGGATCCAGGCGCCGGGCTCTGCTTTATTTTTTCGCTAAAGTCCTCGTCATCGCTCGCCTGCGTGAGAAAAGTGGCATTGGCGGCGGAGGCAGCATTGATTGTCGTCATGCCTAGACCATGGCGAGCACAAACACAGCGGCAGTGAGGACTCGGAGAGAAACACGCAGCATCTGCTGGTGCGCGATGCGGTAACGCACTCAGTTGCAACTGTTCCTCCGGTTCTGGCTCACTCAGGGGCCCGGCCGGATCCAAGCTGGAGCGGGCTGAACGCGGTGGGCTGAGTGAGTTGTGAGTTAGGCTGGGGCGGGGCGCTGGTTCGGGCCGAGACATGGAGGTGTTGCTGGCAGATGTGTTCGAAGGGCCACCAGGGCTGTGCAATCCCTGGGGCCGCGGCGCCGGTTCGGGGCGCTCGGCAGGCTGAGACGCGCGTCGGCTGGAAGTGCCCAGTAATGCGGAAGAAGCGGCAATGGCCTGAACACGGTCCACAGAAGTTCCTTGCTCGGCCTTTGAGGCAAGCAATCCAACCAATAAAGGCATTTGATTCTGAGCGGTCACGCCGCCGAGCGCCGTGGAAAGCTCGGCGCGAGGTAGCATCTATTCATTCGGCGTCAAAACCCCCACGAAAATGAGCTCTGTGAAGAGACGGACGTGGTCTTTCGAAGGCACTTTTGAAAAAAAAAAACAGGGACACGGACTTGAACGTTTGTTTCTGCGACTAGGACTTTGGCCGTTGCGTCCAGCTGCAGGGCGACCAGGGCTTCGTGAATGAGCGATAGCACATGATGACCTGCGTCGCCAACAAGAACAATGTCACATATGCTTGAGGTGAGAAGGGCGCGGGGGGGCTAGAACAGCATGGTGTATCAGACGCAGCAGCTAACCGGGATCTTCACGTTGGAGGTCATTGAGCTTCTCTTGAGCTGGGGTCGTGGGTAGCTTTTTGTTGAGTTTCAGCCGACCAAAAATCGCTGCGCGCAGCTCAGCCTAACATTTGGCGATGACGATTGTGAGCAAAGCAAGACCGCAAATCTCCAAATATGCGACAGCATTTTGACCACAGAGTCAAGATCCAAGCCAGGCGCCAACCTGAGTGCGCGCCAGAAGGCCGCTCGTCTCAAGCTCGGTGCGTAAGGACGCCTGCAGTTCCTCCAGAGCTCCCATGATCATCCAATAAAGACGCGCGCTTGACGATCGCGGTACCGCGTCCTGCTCCTCTCCACAGCTGTTGTACACCCTCTCGCGGCTCGCCCAGCCACGATAGACTCCCCAACAGCCGCCCGCCACGCCCTTTCAACGCCACAGCAGCACCAAGGCCTCTGTTACACACCCTCAGCGACGAGGTCCACCAGGGAGGGCTGCCGTTTGGAACAAGCCGCGATCAACTGTCCGCTCCTTCGTGTGTGAGAGAGGAAAAAAGGAAAAAAAACGGTTTTTCAAGTCTCCTCGAAAAGAAAGCTCACTGTTTTCGTCAACTGTAGCTGGCTCATTTCTCGAGTTATCGCGCATCTGACTCGAGTTCAAACGGCAGCGCGGGGGGTCTCGAGTGGCGGATGTGCAGAGATTTGGGGGGTGGTTAGTTGAGGATTTTTATCTGTGGGCTGGGGTGCTGGACTGGCGATCCGCGTTGAAGCTTGCAGAGGGCCAGGTGGGCCAGCTCGAGTATGGAAGCAGCGGGGAAGGGGCGCGCCGGTGGCGGCGGAGCGGAGGGGTCTAAGCGCGCCAAGGGAGGTAGCGCTGGTACACCACGCAAGACTGGAGCAAAGTCTGGTGCCAAGGGTGATGGTAGCAAAGCCACGAGTCGCTCCCCAGCAAAAAAAGGTGAGTCTCGCTGCTGTTACACCATTGCCACCGACGTGCTGCCTGTTTGTGGTCTGTCGAATGGCCTGACTTCCAACTGCCCCTGAACCCGCTTTTCGCGGCATCTTGATTCCATAGGCGACAAGCGCCGAGGTGAGATCATTTTGGTTGTGATGCAGTGGGTGCATTGCGTCGACGGATGAATGGACCTTGGCTGACACACGGTGTCTGGTGCGACACCTCCCCATCTAGATGGCCCTCCGAATAGGGGCAAGCGCCCACCTCCCCGCCCAGTGGCGCGCCCAGAGGACATTTACATTGGACGCAATTCGCCCTTTGCAGCACAGCTGCAACGAGCTCGCCAGCTGCTCATGAGCGGGTGGGTGGTATCTTACCAGGCTGTACACCCATGCACTCAAGCATGGTGGTGATGGATACGCGTGTTGTGCTCTTATTCCCTTGCCTGTCGCATCGCTTGCTGAGACAGGGAGAGCCGTGTGGTCCTACATGGCCTGAATGCTGCCATCAACCGCTGCATCAATTTGGCTCTGCAGCTACACCGTGAATTCGGGGGCGAGGTACGATGCTACGGCTTGCGACCACGGATGTCCAGCGTTGTTGCTCACCGCTACCCACGGCTCGCTTGAACCGATTACAGATGACCGTGGCCACGGATACAGTCGCGCTCGTGGATGATCTCCCCCCGGATGACCCGGTGCGTCGTGACGTGCCGACTAGAACCGCTGCACCATTCATTTTCCAGTCTCATCGCCTGGTTGGCCTGGTGTCATAGTTTGCCCTCCCCAAGACAGCTCAGCGACCTGTTTCTGCGGTTCACATCACGCTAGTGCGCGGGCAACGTGCTGCCTGAACACCCCAAAGGCCTCTTTCTTTCTTCTTTTTCTTGTTTTTCTTGGTGGCTTTGGCTCCCCATCGAGCCGTGTTCACCGCCGCCAACCGCGCTTCTGCCTCAAAGCGTGGACTCTTGGTTTCTGTTCACTTTTCTTTATTCTTTCTTTGCCCTCCCACCTCTGGCTGTGCCACGAATTCATTGATCCGGAAGGGGGCTGTGCCCCAGTCCCGGTCCAATCGTCCCCCACCCCTGGTTTTCCCGCCGCCGCCTTCCCCGTGTTTCCGAGATGCCACCACATCATCCCCATTCCAGATGTGCGAAGGCAGTGACAGCAACCCTTTCCTTTCGGGAATTTGTCATCTTTTTTCGTGTCATCATCATGAAGACGTGGAGCGGAAAAACCACACAGGAATTTGTATGTGTTTCAACAAGAAAAAGCAAGCCCAAGCCTATACAGACTTATCGCTCGCCCGCTTCCCATTCACTCAAAGCCCAAAAATTAATGTCGACAGTTACACCTGGTAGCAAAAATGTCTCCGCCCACCTCTTCCCTTTCGCCTTTGTGCACACAGTCACCACTGGCCCCTCCCCCCTCTTTGCATTCTTTTTGTTCTTTTTGTTCTTTTTGTTGTGTTTTCCTGTTGTTGTGAGTAAGTCGTCAGTCAGTCAGTGCTTCCCTCTCCTTCCCCTCTGTTGCCCTTTGGGCCGCAAATGGCAGCCGGGGTCTGATGTCTTGCCTGGGATCCGAAATCTGCCCTGGTTTCTTGCGCGTGGCATCTCTGTCTGGGATGGGCAGTTATGTACCTGTCAAGGTCCTAAAGGGCACGTTGGTGTGGTGCAGCGTTGCGTTGACTCGAGTTGTGCGGGCTGTTGGTCAGCCTCAAGTTGTTGGCCTTGACTTGCTGTGAAGACGGGCTGCCTCTTGATCTGATCAGCACAGTTCCAACACCTGGCCGCAATATCAGCTTGTCGTCGTTTCCGTGCCTCGTCGTTTTCTTGTTGTGGGGGAGGGGGTTGATGATGTGCTTGTGACTGCGTGGTTGTGCTTGGCTCGGCGGGTCTGTTCATCGCTTGGTTTTTTTGCGAGCGGTGATGGATGGACCTCTTGCCACTTGCCTTCTGGCCTCCATTATTCATGGCATCAGACGATGGCGGGTCTCTTGTTGATTTGGGACTGCTTTCTCAGCACGCATGACTCACACGTTCTTGTTTGGGCCGCTCTTGTGTAGTTTTCATCTTCTCTTTTTCTTTCTCCCTGCACTGACCGCTACAATGGCGTACTCCATGGCTATGGTTGAGAACTTCAAGGAGGCCTTCTCCCTCTTTGACAAGGACAACAAGTCTGTCATTGACGTTGCCAACCTTGGCCGTGTCATGCGGTGAGCTGCGGCTGCTTTCCAAGTTGTTTTTATTTGTTGTTGTGGTTTTTTTTTTTTTTTTTGGTTTTTTTGACTCATGGACCCTGTTCCGTTTTTTGCAGTGCCATTGGCCTCGAGCCCTCGGATGATGAGCTCAAGAACATGATCACTGAGGTTGATGGCTCTGGTGCGTTGTTGAGAACCAATGGAGATATCACAAGGCCTTTCTTTGACTGCTTTTCTGATATCCGCCTAGAGGGCTTTCCATCGCTCCTCCACTCATTTTGGTTCCCGCACACTTTGGCTTGATCGTGTATGCAGGCAAGAACGCTGTCGACTTTGCCGAGTTCATGAAGATGATGTCCAAGAACGGCACTGAGACCGCCAAGGAGGTCAAGGAGACTTTTGCCCTCTTCAACAAGAGTGGCAGGTATGTGGTTTAGCACGCCATCTGATTTTATATCGCTTATGGTTTCTTGCCATGCCTGCCGCCTATGCCTCATGCACGTGCCCTCCCGCGTTGCTCTTCATTGCAGCGGCTCCATCTCCAAGTCGGAGCTGCAGGAGATCATGTCCGCGCTCGGCGAGAAGTTCGACGACAAGGTTTGTCCTCCATTGCATGCCTTATTTTTGTTGTTGTTGTTCTGTGTGTGAAAGAGAGAGGGGGTGTCTGTGTCTGTGTCTGTGCTTGTGTGTGTTTCGTCCATCCAGCCCGCAGTGCCGCTGTGATGGCAAATCAGCTCATCTTGACCCGAATGACGTCCCATAGGATCTGGATGACATGATCAGCTCGATCGACAAGTCGGGCTCCGGCGCAGTCAGTACCGAGCTTTCTCCTGCATACCTACCTGTATCTGATTGTGTTGGCCATCGAGTTCGGGCTTCTCACATTTGCCTATCATTGTTGCTCTGGTTGTGTTTTACAGGTCAGCTTTGCGGACTTTGAGGCATGCATTGTCGGCGAGGAATAAACTTCGCTTTAGTGTATTCCGCGTTGTTCGTGTTCGTACAAAGGTCTTTTCCGCGTTGCTTTCCATTTCGTTTGTGTCTCATGTCCTCTTTGAAGATATCACCTCTATCCGTCTCCCTTTTCAAACAACAAAAAAATGGTCAAAAACATGAAATTCATTAACAGCAGCACCTGTCTCCTATTTCATGCCTTCCCGGCGCCCCCATCTACCACCAGGTGGTCAAACAGGCTTCCCAACTACAAAAGGCGAGCGCTCATTTTATCGCGCGCTCTCCCTCTCTCTCTCTCTCAAACTCTCTCTAAATCTCTCTCTCTCTCTCTCTAAATCTCTCTCTCTCTCTCTCTAAATCTCTCTCTCTCTCTCTAAATCTCTCTCTCTTTCTCTCTCTCTCTCTCTCTCTCTCTCTCTCTCTCTCTCTCTCTCTCTCTCTCTCTCTCTCTCTCTCTCTCTCTCTCTCTCTCTTCAAAATCTCTCTCTCTCTCTCTCTCTCTCTCTCTCTCTCTCTCTCTCTCTCTCTCTCTCTCTCTATCTCGAAATCTCTCTCTCTTTCTCTCTCTTTCTCTCTCTCTCTTTCTCTCTCTAAATCTCTCTCTCCTCCTTTTTATGTTTCACTTTTTTTTTTTTTTTCTCGTTTTTCAGTGGATTTTGTTGTCGGTGCGGTCTTTGTCGGGGCTTGAACCTGCGAATCATCAAGCCACCTGTCTGCTCGCACGGGTGCTGTGCATTTGCGTTGAGAACCGTTGTCATGAGTGCCGAGATTTCGGGTCGGCAGTCGCTGCTGCAGATGGCGCGCGATAATCAATTGCCCATGCCCGAGGCCGCTCCCGAGCTTGCTGCTTCGCTGAGCGCTGAGCAGCAGGAGCGCCTGGAAAACGCCTTTCGCTTCATGGCCACCACCTCGATGCACTATGGCAAGGAGGCCACGGTGCGTACAGCCGCCATGTCACTTTTGCAATGCGCATACGTGACCAGAACGGTGGGGTAGGGAAATTCTGAAGCACCAAGCCAACATCGAGCACCTCACCTCACCCCACGTTTTACGGTTTTCATTGTGGCAGGGCAACCTGAATCCTGCATCAATGCCTGGTCCTGGCCCCATGAACATGGGTGCACCTGGTATGATGGGACCTGGTATGCGGGGTCCAGGCATGCGACCAGGCATGATGATGCCCGGCATGGGCGCGCCTGGCATGGTTCCGCCGATGGGGACTCCTGGCATGGGTGCACCTGGAATGGGCATGCCCGGCATGAGTACAGTGGGCATGACTCCGGAACAACACGAGCGTGCCCAGCGCCTCAAAGCCGTTCAACTTTTGGGCCGCGTCTATGTCGGTGGCATCCCGTTTGACGCTGGTGAACAGGAGATTGCCGAGGCTTTTCGCCCCTTTGGCGCCATTCAACAGTGTGCTTTCACCTATGACCAAGCGCTCAACAAGCACAAGGGCTTTTGCTTCGTCGAGTACGATGCACCCGAGGCTGCCCTGCTGGCCCTAGAGCAGATGACTAGCTATAACATCAAGGGTCGCACCCTCAAAATCGGCCGCCCCAACAATGCACCCCAGGCCCTGCCGTATCTGGAAACCCTGGCGGCCAAGGCGGCCGAGGCCCATCGCATCTACGTGTCCTCCATTCATCCCGACCTGGGTGAGCTCGAGATTAAGAGTGTGTTCGAATCCTTTGGGCCCGTCACGCGCGTCATTCTGGCACCCGGCGCCGAGGGCAAGGGCAACCATCGTGGCTACGGATGGGTCGACTTTGAGGAGCAAAAGTCCGTGCCCGATGCCATCAAGAGCATGAACCTCTTTGACCTTGGTGGCCAATTTCTCCGTGTTTCCATTGGCATCAGGTTTGATACACGACCTCGGATGTCTCCCTCGCGCCCTCTCGCTTTTTTGTATGGCGTTTGGGACACATCCTCCTCATGCGCCGCCTGTTTCATCTTTTTTACCTTGGTGTAGCGAGCCAGAAGAAGTGTTCGAAATTGCCGACATTTTCAACAACACCAAGCAGCCAGCTGCCTTGCCTCGTACGCCACTCCCCTGTTGCTCCGTGGTACGCGGCTTCAATTTCGGAAGCACCTCGCCCTCACTCTTTGCTTAAATTTTTGGGCCGTAGCGCAACTGGCTGCCCAACAAGCCGCGGCGCGTCAAGCTGCCACCGCAGTCCTCACTAAAGTGGGGGCCGTTGCCCCACCGGTACGCACGCAGCCTATTTTTTTGCAAACCATGAGCTGTCATCAGAATATTCGGGATTGTTGTCACAGCGCCGTATTTGTGGTTGTGTTTTTCTTGTGCTCACTGGGTGATGAACAGAGCGCTGCCCCTCAGAATGGCACTCCCGAAGCCAATGGGGCTGCAACAGAGGCGACGACAGCTACTGCTCAAGCAGGTTCGAGCACATCTTCCCGATCAGTCATTCTGATTAACTTTATCATGCTGATATTCTTGTTTTGTGTGGACTTGTTTCGTCAACCAACCCCTTGCAGAGAGTGCCAACTTGGATGAGGTCACGTTGACGGCCGAGGAACGTCAGAAGCTCATGCAGGCACGCCACCGTGCCATCTTCGAATCACCGGTAATTTTGCTCAAGAACATGGTCCCCATCAACGAGGTGGATGATCAACTCGAGGACGAGGTGAGTCACCTGTTGCTCTCATCCGTGACGAGCTCGTCGCCATTTTCGTAGTTTTTTTGTTTTTTTTCGGTTTGTTTGTTTGTTTGTTCTTGGCCCGCTGGTCCTTCTCCAAACTGATTGGATCCTCGGAACCGGACCATAATGTTAGGTCCGAGAAGAGTGCACCAACTTTGGCACCACAGAGAAAATTGTCATTGATACAAAACACGTGAGTGTTCCGAGACTGGGACCCATGTTCGCAGTGCAGTCCAAGTTCTCCGTGTGCGCTTCTGTCTGCTACCCTCATGTTGATGTTTTTGTTCCTTGCTCGTTGGGTCATCCTCCAATTTTCAGCCGGGCGATGACAACATGGCCAAGATTTTTGTTCAGTTTGGCACAAGCGCGGGTATGACACACTGCTTGTAGATTGGATGCCTTGCTCGATGTGCAAATTATCGCTCAGATTCATTCTCGTGCATTCTTTGTGTACTGTGTCTCGCTCACTGAATGCTTGCGGATTCCTTAGCGGCAAAGGAGGCGATCAAAGCCTTGAATGGGCGGTTCTTCAGCGGACGAGAGGTGAAGGCTGAAAACTATTCATTGGCCAAATTTGAGGCGGGGGATTACGGCCATTAAAGTGCCCATGGTCACTGTTTGCCTGCTCGTACCGTCTTTCTTTTTTGAGATGGGTCGATTGTGAGCGGACCATGCAGTGACATGCGACAAAACTTTGTGATTGGCGGATGAAATTGACAGATGCATCAAAATAGGTTGCCAATCAAAAGTCTGCGCGCTACGGCACGAACGAGCAACCACCGCCTTGAAAAAGAAGTGTGTCATCCACGAGCACTTAGAGCTCATCGTGTGCAGCTGGATCGATGGCAAGGAAGGGCTTGCAGACTGCTGGTGATTCCATTCTACATACAAACCAGCCGAACACATTAGGAAAGAAAGTGGCGGGTACTTGCAGTGTCCAGATAGTTCAACCCTTGAAAGACTGTCGAGTAGCGAGGCTTGCGACGGTTTGACTTGAAGACCCGCCACGTACCGCATCACATATTCGCAACGGTTCGGCTCGGCTACATCGAGAACCTTGTTCTCCGCCCCGCAGCTGAGCTGGACCTGGAAAGTCATGGAGTCAGTGGTGAATCCACAGCGCGTCAGCTGGGCACAAACGAACGAACGAACCTCGCAGGAGCGGTTGGGGCCGTTCCAGCACTTTTCTCCGTCGTCAAACTTGGCACGTGTACGGTCGCTGCCCTCGACAAAACCATTCCATTTGCTAGGGCGAGGAAGTGCGCACAGCAAGTGTGAGTGCGGGCCTTGGCTTGGACTCGAGTACACAGTCGAATACAAATCTCTTACCCGAGCTTGGTGGCGCGACCTCCAGCCTTGGGCTCCTGTGTCACCTTGTCAAACATGCAAAGCTTGTATCTGTACGTTTCGCGAAGCGTGAGTCAAGATCCTCATCGAAAGGGGACAAGGCCACACAGGCAAGCACGCCAAACGAAACAAAAAGACTAACTTGTATTCGCGGTCTTCAAGCTCATAGCATTGATTAATCATGTGCGCAAATTCGTGCGAATCTCCCGTGTCATAGTTGAGCTCGTTCTCGAGTTTTTTGCGGTCTGATTCCTTGAGCCGCTTCTGCGACTCGGCCTCGCGATGGGCAGTTCGTGCTGCGTCGGCGTCTAAACACGAAAGTGATGCAGGGTGTAGTGAATTGGCCGGCACTACCCTCACTTTCCTTTGAGCAAAGCCATGAGGTACACTCTCAATCGTTCTCAACGCACTGGCAATGAGGGTCTTGATGTCCTCGTCGTACTCAGGCTTGGGGTCAGAAGGCTCGGGATGGACGCCGTCCTTATCAGCCATGACCTTGGTAATGTGAGAATATAGATGCTCTTTGAAGTGATCCAGACTGACGGACTGTTCCGCTTCGGACAGTGAACCATCGTCGTCCACATCGAGCAATGCTTCAATATCCTTCATCGTCACCTATGGACGTGAACAATACAGGGCGTGGTGAAGGACATGCTCACACAAAACACCACCCTGTGAAGCAAGCACGGGTCGATTGAGTCAGATTGATTGGCAGACTCACGCCTTGTTGCTCGTCATTGGCCAGTTCCGGATGAAGCAGCAGCTCTTCGGCCGTAAGAGACTGATCATTGTTCACGTCCAGGAAGTCAAAGGTGTTGGCATGGGCCTCAGAGCGCCGCGCTTGCATTGTAGCTATAACGCACACACACACACACACACACACACACACACACACACACACACACACACACACACACACACACACACACACACACACACACACACACACACCACAGAGACCAAGCACATCCCCGGTCAGGAAGGTTGAGCTCAAAAGGAATTAGGCGGCCGCTGGGATTGCATCAAAGTCAATTTGTCTTACCTTCCCAGTCCTTGTCAAAGACCTCCTTAGCTGCTGCTTCGGGGGTCTCGGCTTCGGTTTTGGCAGCTTCAAGCTCTTGTACACGGCGTTCCAGGCTCTCCATTTCTTTGTCCAGAGCGGCAATGCGCTCCTTGCGCTCCTATTCATAATGTATCATGAGGACATACCATGTGATGTTTGGCTTGGCTTGGCACGACGCGAGAGTGTGCCAGAAACACACGGAAAAAGTAGCAGCAACTGGGTTGTATCACGCTCACCTGAATCTCTTGCTTGGCCTGATTTTCCAAGCGGACACGGGTTGCAAAGCCTTCCCGTTGCAGCTGTGCCTCACGTTCGGCGGCTTCGCGAGCGGCACGGCCCAGCTCCTCGCAGGTGTTGGGGCAGGCCACAAGACCACTGTACTCATCCGAACCGTCACAGCAGTCACACAAACCGTCGTTGACCCGCCCGCTAACCATTAAAGCCGGCTCATGCCCTTCGTTAGTGCAGTAAAAGTGGCCATTGGCACAAGCCGACGTGCCTAATGCAGGTAGGACATGAGGAGCAAACGTGAGCTCGCCTCAATGGCAGCCCCTTTAAGGCAAACGCCGAGAGGCACAAACGTACCAGGTTCGTCTGAGCCGTCGTCGCAGTCGCAAAATTCGTCATTGACGCTCTCCATAGGGATGGATTTGCCGTTGTCACAGGCAAAAGCGTCGCCGGCAAAGTGAGGCGCATCTGTGGGGCAAGGAGCCGATGACCATGTGAAAGGCTTGTCGCGCCTCATCAGTAACCGTGTCCTACCCATTTATTCAAATGCATTTGCATACCTTTGGGGGCAGCACCTCGAGGCAGATGGTCCAATGACGCCGTCGCAGGCACCACCACGGCCACTGCCAACAGCAGCACCAAGGTCGTCACTGACATGAGCTCCAGCTTCATCATGACGATTGGAAACAGAAAAACGCACACACACCAAACATCAAACATCAGAGTGTGACCAACGTTACACTCAATGAATTGAATGAATCAGACTCCTTATGTGTGACTTGTGTCACACGTGTCGTTGTGAAAAGAAAGAAAAGGGAAGATTAGCAAATCTACCACATGTAGCATTGGAGAAAGAAATTCGATTGGTTGATGCTTGCTTGTATAAAAACTGATCACAAGCAGAGAGGAGTTCTCTTCCTCTCTTTCTCTCTCTCTCTCTCTCTCTCTGGAGGTTTGCTTGAGGTTGCTTTCCATCTTCACTTTGCTCCATTTTCCTTTTGACCATGGAGGAGCTTGGATGCCTCTGTGTGTTGGACGTGAACGTGTGCGAAAGTGAAAGAATGGGTCACCAGCACAGGCTGACCGCAGCCCCAAAACGTCTGGCCGGCCTTCAAGCAGACGAGGCGAAACGATCTGAAAGACAAGACTCTGAGTTGGACACAAGTCATTACGTGGACATGGAGGCCGCGTACCAACCAGACGAGGCACAGGCACAGGGCGACCATGATCCTTCGATGAGCGAAACGGACGGTGAGATAGGAGGGCTTGGAGAAGATACCTTTGACTCAGATGAGAGTCAGTACGTGGACATGGAAGGCTCGTACTGCCCGCCAGAGGTCGTCTACTTTGAGGCGGAACGCGATCAACAACCAGTGCTCAAAGCCGCCACATTGACCCAATGGGTTCAGCACGTCACCTCTGACAATACATGGATCCAATGTTGCAGAAGACCTTGGTCATCACATTTCCCTTGTTCACCACCGCCCAGGCTTTGCTAACTCACCTAGTGGAGCGCTTTGAAGCCCATCTTCCCAGACCAGACATGTCGGGCGATGAGCAAAAGGTGGCTTCTTGTGTACGCTCGCGCGTGCTGGTGTGTCTTCGCGCCTGGCTGCAGTACAACGGCGATTTCTTCCAGGATGTTACGCTCGAGGACCGTCTGCGCCGTTTCATGCAAAATCAAGAAGCACACATGGACCCACAGCAGCGAGATGCTGTCCTCAAATTGCTTGCACAGCGGGTCGAAAACCTGGCCTCTGTGGAGTTGCGGCGCCCCTCACGTGCACGCCCATCTGTGTCTCGAAATGTGGCGCGGACTTTGGCAGCACAGTCGTATCATGACATTAGTCTGACCGACCTCAAACCCATGGCAATTGCAGAGCAGCTCACCTTGTGGATGTGGCGCTCATACGCTCGTGTACGGCCAACAGAGCTCCTGATGAAAGAGCGCGGAGAGCGGACGCCCCACATCAATTCCATGACGATCAAGACAGAAAAGGTGACACACTGGGCTTTGGGCATGGTGTTGATGACCCGGGACCCGACGCAGCGCATGCGTAACTACAAGTTCCTGATCCGACTGGCAGATGCTCTGTTACAGCTGGGCAACTTTGAGCTGGCCAAGGGCGTGGCAGTGGCGGTCGACCACACTCTGGTCGTTCAAGTCATTGACGAGGTCAAATATTCGCCCGTGCAGCCCAAGATGAGCAAAGCTTTGTCCAGTATACAGAAGATCGCCATTGACAAAGGCCCCCACCTCTTGGAGCGACTGCAAAATCGCCACTGTGAGCAGTTGCCTTGCATTCCGCCTCTCTTTGTCTACATGCGCAACCGAGCGATTTGCGAGGAGAAGGCAAATGCAAAACGCCCTGAGTACATGCCCGAGGGCATGCTCTTCGTGCACAAGTACCGCATGATCTGCGAGCACGTCCGGGATGCGCTCAAGTTCCAGCGGTATGAGTATGTCATTGAGACCAAAAATAGCATCCAGGTCGGTTCGGTTCGAGTTTTGCATCTATTGTGTTCTGTTGCATAGGTCTTGTATCGTTGTTGATGCGCTTTGACTCACTCGATGATTGGTACGAATAGGAGTATCTGGACACGCGATTGATGCCCAACATGACGAGTGAATTGGCTGAGAGCAAGTTTGAGGAGTGGAACCGGTTATCATACGAGCTGGTGCCTTCAAAGCGCGGGTCTAAGGCGATCTCGGGCAGCATTGATGAAACAGCCTCGGCCTAGGCACCAAGCCCACACATGGGTCGTCGAACTTATCTGAAGGATCAACAGAAGACGGCGCAAAGCCACTGGTGAGTTGGCAACTCCTAAGTTTCCTTGAGTAGCGTATCCTGCCTTCAAATGCTGTCCGGTTCTTGCTTGGCTCCATGTACAAATGGCACATGACTCGTAAATTGTTTGTAATCGCACTCTTCATCTGCAAACTGACCTTCAAGCTTGGCTCGCTCAATCTTTTCTATGCCGCGTCTGCGGATGGACACAAATGTCACTTTCCCCGTTCCCTCGGGCAAGCGACGTTCAGAAGACTGTATTTGGGCTGTTGTATTAAACTCCAGGGACGAACGAATTGTCGTCAGAGGTGGGACGGAGATGCACTCATCGCCAAGAACCGCCGACGTATCGCTGCGTCCAATGTCCAGCTACAATCGCGATAGCAAGCAGTATTGAACAGCTGCTCTGATGCCGTCAAAATGTCCAACAGCAGCGCTCAACCCACAACAATGCCATGATGCTTGTGTTCATTCCTGTGCCCTGCTGAACAATTTGGCAAAATATTATTCTGTCGGCATGCCTGCCGTAGCAACTTTTGCGGTGTGAGCTGTGGAAAAGATCAGCTCAGTAACAGGCCAGAGCCGTCTGCAGGGAGCAACGCAATGCTCGAATGGGCGATGAACGATCTGACATACGACTCCTCAGCTCACAATGCTGGGTCGTCGTCAACTTCATTGCCGACAAAGCCGCAATAGAACAGCATTGCTCTCAAGTTCCCCCGGGCGCGGTGGTAGCATGCGGCCACAGCAGCTTCAGCAGCAGTTCGTGCACGCCATACGTCCGCCATGCGAACGGCTTCGGCCAGGTTGACGCGCCCGAGCTGATCTGCGCTTCCTATGGCCGTACGTCCTTGGCCATAATATCATGGCACTCCTGCTTGAAAAGTATGACAATAGGGAGTGTACATGAACATCCGGATGTACATGTAAGTGTGACTGAAGTTTTAGTAGACAAGTCACTGGACATGCACAATAAGTGATAGAGACACATGCTTTGGTTTTCACCATTTGCAACAACAGGTCTTAAAACTACTACAATTACTACCCTCCTTGTCTCTCTTTCTCTGTTTCCTCTTTCTGACTATCTCAAACTCTCTCCAAACTCTCTCACAAACTCTCTCACAAACTCCTCTCTCTCTCTCTCTCTGTCTGTTTCATCTCTCTCTTTCTCTCAATCCCTCTCTCAACCACTCTCTTCTCTCAAACTCTCTCTCTCTCAACCTCTCTCTCAAACTCTCTTTCTGCGACATCGACCTTGAAGCAAGAGACGGCGACGAGCGCTGGGACGACTGGGGGGAGAAAGCGAGCGCCTTTCCTCTTTTTTATCTTTGACAACCTGACGGCCGGAAAGTGAAGGCGCTTTGGAACACACAAGGGTGGTATTTAGGGCATGATTTGAGCGGGAGAGGTCTCGCCGCGCTTGTCGGTGATTATCAACGCGTGCCGGCGACGTGAGTAAACCGGCATCCTCGGAGCCGCCTGCACAATGCGCTGGGACCCGGCCTGGATCAAGCCCGGGCACAATGACGCCAGCTTTGCCGTCTCTCATTTACTATCCCAAGGTTGGTGCATGCAATGAAACAGCTAGCCGCTGACAAGGTATTGATCACACAACGGCTCCGCTCATCGGATCGGTTCTGCTGATCTGCCCTCTCGGCCATCACCTTGCAAACAGCGGGTGCCAATACCTTTGCTGAGCTCTCCATCATCTTCAAGGACAAGGGCTTCTTTGTAGTCAACTCGGCTGTATGTACCGCGCAAACACCGCTCGCACGGTATTTTCCAACGACGCCCGTCTCATCACTCAACCCTGCTCTCGGGCACTCGTCATGCTTCGCAGCCTGCTGCTCTCTGCTGGGTGCAGGTGAACGAATTGAGTCACCGGACAGGTGTGCCCCAGCATTATGACGGCCGAGGGACTCTGGTGATGGTCACTGTTGAGGTCAGTCCCATACGCCTCATCTCTCACGCTCTTTTTTGCTCTCGCCAAACGCACCAACACAGAAAAATACCATACATGCGAACAGTGACTCGTGCCAAGCCTTATCAAAACTGATCGATCACCCTCTTGCCGACGCAGTGTGGACCGTTTTTCCCCTTGGAAGGTGGACGGCCCAAGGGCCTCGAAAAGCCCAAAGCCTCCCTCTGCTTCTACGCCGCCCCCGACACTGCGTGCGTGCCTGCAAACCGAGGCCCCTACTATCCCTTCCGCTCGCTCCTCCTTGGCCCACTTTTATGACATCCATTTCTCACCGTGTCGCCGCCCCCCCGTGATCTTGCCCCTTGATCACGCTTACCCTCGCTATTTGTTGTGCGATCTCATTTGGTTTGCGTTCAGTGCTCAACTGATCCGACAACTGGAGAATGTGCGAGAGTCATCGTCCCAGGTATCCTTTGCTCGGGCTGCTCAAGTGTCACCCCTCTTTTTCAAACGTACCAGCCTTGGCCTTTTCCAGTTCGCTCCCAACGCAACTCTCACCAGAACACTGTGACTGTCGCTATCGCCACCGTAGCCACTACTACGTGGTCGATCGGCCTCGGAACTCTTTTCTACAACTGCTGCTGCTGCCTCATCTGATGGTGAGAACTACCTCGGGCGCCCTCGATGCTGTCATGTCCCGATTCAAAAGACAGTGAAGCCTCGCAACGTCCTTGCTGAAGATCCGACGCTTGATGCTATCATTGGGCCTCTTCGCCGACTTCCATAGGTACCAGCCAGCCGAGCGCCATGGATTCCCTCTTCTCTCAATTGGCCAAGCTCATCCATGTGGAGTTGTCCCCGGCCATTCAATCCGCCTTCCACGATCGCGCTACCGTGCGCGCAAATGGCCTGCAAAAGCTTCTGACCCTCTTTCGTCGCCTGAGTGCGTTGCTCCGTCATGTCGTTCATGGCATGGATGACTTGCCGGATGTGGTCAGGCACGGGCTTCTTCATGTGGTCCGTCGCTTGACCGCTGCCTCCGGCATCATTTACAATCAGCTGCGCCAGCTGTTGACACGTCTCGAAGCCGTCAAGGACCCCGATGCTGCCCCTAGTCACATGCTCTCAGATCTTCACCAGTACCGCTGGGAGTGCATCATGCTGCAAAAGAAGTACCAGGTCTTTCTCCTGGCCCTTGAAGGTGGTCTGCAATTTGCTAGCGCCCCGCTGCCAACATCCAAGGATGAGGTGATGCGCCAGGAAATCAAGGGCCTGCTTGACAACTTTGCAAAGCCCCGGGGCCGCAACTCCAGCATGCATCTGTGGGCCTCACAGGCCACACAGGCCGACGCAGACTTTCGCACCAGGACCGAGCTCATTCTCGATGCAGTGACATCGGGTACAGACGGCACCTGGTCACGCGAGGACAAGGCTCGTGCGGCCGTGTCCCGCGTGGCGTCGGCGTACCATGGCTGGCAAAGTACCGTCCGCATGGTGCTTGAACGAGCTGAATCCTTTGATGGAGACACCTTCACTCTGGACGCGCTCATCCCGGCCTATGCATGCATCCTTTCCGCTGCCCTTCTCAACGCTGTTCTGGTCGCGGTCCAGCTTCGACCTGACGTCTTTCGTGGCTGTAAGAGGCGTGAACATCGTTTTCACGAGACAAACCCCTTTGCACAGCTGCTTGACGAGGCTCATGAGGAGCCCAACGCCTCCGACACGGACAGTGACGACGACCACGAGGAATATGACGAGGAAGAAGACAACTCACTCGGAGAGGATGAGCTGGAGACGAAGGTTACTGCAGCATCAGAGCACGCTGTTGCAGATGCGGGACAGGGCTTGGCCGCAGATGCTGGTGCTGGTACTGGTGTCAATGCTGCGGCTCAGCAGCGCCACTTGTATGACAGTTATCCGCAACGTCCGAGCAGCAGCGCTTCGCCCATGCCCATGTCCGACTCACAGTCCAGTGCTCGACCACCACGCGATAGCATGGATAGCAACTTCAGCAGCGCTGTGCGGCGCTCCTCTAGTCAGTTGTCTGGAAGTCGTGCCGGATCTGTACGCCGCAGCGGATCGTCGCGTAGTCGCCGACGCGACGACATGGACCTTCATCTGATCCAGCGCTTCGTACCTTTGGGTCAGCACGAGGATATTGTGAGCGAGTTGGTCAAGCGGTCTGACGCTGGGCCAATCTTGATGAATATCCGTCTTCACGACACTCTGCAACACCGTCTACCCGAGCTCGAGAAGTGTAGTCAAGCTCTGGTTGACGATCAACCCGTGACGACCGGCTACGTGGCTCGTGGAATCCGCACCTGTAATGAACTTGCCAAGCTGCTTCTCACGGTTAGCGTACCGACAGCTCGTGAGAGCGACTGGTATCGCTGGAATCTTGAGTTTCGCAAAGCCGTGCGAGAAGCAAACGCGACACTGGCCGACCTGGAAGCACGTCAAGTTCGACACGTGCAGGTACAAGATCCTGTGACGCAGTGCTGTCTCGAGGCCATTCTGAAACCTGCGGAGCTGGCGACAAAGCTAAATGAAGAGATTCATGCCCAATACGAAGCGTTAAAGGCCCAGCCCAAACAGCCCAATGCAAGGTCACCGGGAGTTGACACTCGTGTAGGTCGTACCAACTCATTTTTCGCCATGGACGCGAGCCCGGGCATGGGAATGGGTGAACGGCGTCAGCAAGCAGCGCCCTCGATGACTCTCGGCAACCTGCACGAGGATGAAGCGGTGGAGACGGAGGAAGCTCGCTTGGCGCGGATAGCCGATTCGGTCTCTGCTCAGTACGTGGACATGGAAGGCACCTCTCATCCAGACGAGGTCCTTTATTTTGAGGCGGAACGCGATCAACAACCAGTGCTCAAAGCCGCCACATTGACCCAGTGGGTTCAGCGCGTCACCTTTGACAAATACATAGATCCAATGTTGCAGAAGACCTTGGTCGTCACATTTCCCTTGTTCACCACCGCCCAGGCTTTGCTAACTCACCTAGTGGAGCGCTTTGAAGCCCATCTTCC